TAAATATAATAATATAAATAATAATAATAAATTAAATAATTTACTTATTCTAGAGGATATAAATCCAAAGAAACGCAAGAAATTGGTGACACTTTTTTGGAGGATTTTGTAAAGCTGAGTTTTATTGCAAAAGCTTCAGGTTTATTCTGAAACTTCAGTCAACAGTTGTGATGTGCTACAAAAGCAGAAGTTTTACTAGGAGAGACAGGAAGGCTCATCGAAGCCAACTGTTGATTCTGTGTGGCTTTCTAATGTGATTTCCACAAGCATATTGTCCTTTTGAAAGGTGTGGTTTTAACCACAGTGAATATACAGTGGGAAGTGCAGAGCTCAAGCTACTGGGAGAGTTTGTATCAATGCCAAACAAAAAAACCCAATTAGACTAAATAGCCTCTCTACTGAACGTCAGCTGGAGGTTTTTTTCATGTCACCACCCTTTTTTCAGTTGTAAACCTATTTCCCTATAAAATTTAGAAACAATGAAAGAGGATAGTCTGTCTTAGTAAGATGATAATATTTCCTATCTTCAGTCTTAAAATCATTGTTAAATGAGTATATATCTTTTCCTGATATAGATAATCACTTACAATCATATGATATAATCAGCAATGAAGTTTGAAATGTTTTAGAAAATTTAAGTCATTAAATAAATGAACATTGGGGTTTTTTGCAAAGACAAATGAGGATTCTTGCCGATTTTGTGCAAAGAATCTTTAAGTGTCTTGATTCAGTTTTATGTATTCCTTGGTGAGAACAGCAGTCAGCTAAACATAATTCTTTCCCCGTAATATTTGTCATGCATATCTAAATGCCTGTTAGAGAGAAGGCACGCGATAAAAGGTAAATATCATCTACTACATCAAATAGATATTATGATAATTTGGAGAACTCTGCTCATGACCAACAGAGATTTCTGATAGAACTGTATGCTGTAGGAGTGGTAAAAAGTAATTAAAAGAGATATGTGAAGATATCTCTTGGAAGAGAGATTAGCAGAAAAATTTGTAATTTAAAATAACTTTTTCCTTACTTATTGTTATCATAGCTTCACAAAGACCTTATAAGCTGGGCTCTTGCTTCTCAGTATTTCCTAACCTGAAATTGATGGCAATTGATTCCTAGGCAAACCCTGAGGTTGTATAGCATATATAAGGGCATACAGTTTGGACACGGCTGTGTATACGTACAAGGTGTATAAATAAAATGTGTTGCAAAGAAACAAAATGTCCACGGCACATCTCGGGCATTAGATATCAAATTCCTAGAGGAGATCAGGTATCAGGAGAGAAAACAAATGCATATTCCCTTGGAAAAGAAAAGCTCTGTTGGAGTCTTCATTTTCTCAGTTGTACTCTGATCCAAAAGAGAAAAGGAATACTGTTAAATTAGTTCTTTCTATCAGGCTCAACAAATGATGTGACTTCACAGTACAAAAGGAAGCAGGAATAATTTGTCTCATGTTTTGACTTTACACAAGGCATGTATAGCATCCAACCAGGAATGGAAAAAACGAACAAAGTTTTAGCTCAAGTTTTGTAACTGTGACAGCTTATATAATTGGAGAAAAATGTAGGTGTTCTTTAGAAAGGTAACACATTGCAAAATAGAGGTCTTCCAATTAAAAAAACAAAGCTCTCCAGTCATCTTTACATGAAGTGTTGTCAAATATGAAGACTTATCCAGACTTCAGCACTGAGGACAGGTAAAAGAAAAGCGATGAATTGGCTAAGTACTTTCCAGTAGACTTTGTGCTTCTAAAAGAGAAAATAATTTAATGTTTCTGATTAACAGTTTTTCTGAATAACTGAGTGGGGTTTGGGAATAAAGAGTTTAGCACATCAGGCAGTCTGATGAAAAGAGACTTGATCAAAGTTGTTCAGAAGTTAAATGTACTGTCATTAAAAAGCTAAATGTACTTTCATTCATTTAAAATAATTTAGCAAAGCAGAAGAGTTCATTAATGGGATGGTAGTTGGCTTCTGCCAAAACACCCTGCTGTTTAAATATGAGATTTAATTGAGAGGTATGAAAATTATTTTCTAAAAGAGGAAGTGCAAGGAAATCCTGGTAACATTTGGTATAAGCATTGTCAAATTGTTTTTCTCGCAAATCTTCATTAATGTAATGCTTCATTATCCTTATTTCTTTTTTAAAAAAATATAAAAAGTTAAAAGAAAAATTTGGCATTTTGAATACACTCAAAAAATCAACTAACCTCCAAAATCTTAACTATCCAACAACCAGGAGTGGGAAAAGAGAAGGTATGGGGGAGGATGGGGAAAATTCCCAAACCAAAGAGAAGTGACTTGGTTTGGAGGTCAGACTTAATGATTTCACAGTACACTAACTCTGGAAATTAAAAAACAACTTTAAGTAATCTGCATGTGATTACAACATTATGCACTATAATCCGCCTACTCTGGGCAAACAGAACGCATCTAAATATACATGAGTAGTTTTCAGGATATACCGCATAAACATCTGGGTATTACTTCCTGACCAGTTATTGCTGTTACTATTATTTTTTACTCCGGGAATGTCAATACTGCAGACGCAGCATAGCCAGGGGGCATCTAACCTAGATTTGCATAGATTTTTTGGCTACTGAAGGATAGCTAGCAGTTGCATGGAGCCTCTCAGGATAGACCAGTCAAACGCATCTCTGCACTGGTAAAACTGGCACCTGAAGCTTACTCTGGTAGCCTGAAGTCAACGCACCCTTCCTTCCCCTCCGTGTCTGCTACCGCAGAAGGACGGCATCAAAAGAAGAGAAAGAGGCCAAAAGAGGAGTTTGTATTTGCATTCA